GCGCGCGCGCTCGTGTGTATCATCACGCTTCCTTTTTGTGTTCAAACAGAGGAGCAAGCGGCAGTGCGGTTTGGATTGCTGGCGCATACGGCGATGGCGTGGGTCGCTGTCCACCACCTCGGCGACCAGGCGCCTGACGCGGCCGTCAGTCAGGCCGTCTATGCGCTGGCCCACGACGTGGAATTCTTGTCCGCCTGGAGCGTGATCGAAGGTGCGGCCATCAGTCCATCTACCTCAATGCGTGTGCTGACTCGCTCGCACACGCGCACAACACCGCACACGCGCACGCTCGACCGCACACGGAATCATGCCATACGCGGCGCCAATCAGGTGGAGATGCGCTGCTGCAACCGCGAGGCCTCTCCTCTGTCGCCGTTGCAGAGCTGTTGGACCTCGAAAAGGCCTCGCTGTCGGACATGCACGAAAAGCTGCGGCACGAGGTCAACATCGGCTCGCGCGTGAGCCTCGAAACCGCCACGGTTCCGTGGCCCAGCCTGAAATCGTTCGACGAGGTATGCACCATGCCACTCATCGGTGGTGACTGAACTCTTGAACGCCGCCCACCACCACCACATCACATGCGACACGCACAACGCGCACTGCACACGACACGGCACACGCCGAATAACACAACACACACACACTTTTGTTTGGGCTCAGTTTTTCATCGGACCACTGATCAAGCTCAAGTCCGGTCGAGCCAAGCAACTCCTCGTGGCGTGCTTGCTCGACCAACTGGGCCTGAGCTCGAGTGACCGCGCCATGTACTCCATCTCTCCATCTCTCTCTCATTCGCTGCATTCCACTGCATTCTCTCTGCATTCCTCTGATTGGTGGGCGATCGCTGTGCAACGCACAGTCAACGCTTGGTCAGCTGTCTGATGGCGGTGACGCTGCCTTCGGCCTTTGCCGAGGGCACGGTGCGGCAGGAGGTCGAGCGCGACAACCCCGACGCGCTGGGCGTGCTGCGGCGGCTGGCCGACGAGCCACAGTTCGACCACCTGTGGCACTGGATCGGGTGCCCTCCATCGTCAGCCTCCGCATGTTCTGCAACACCCATTGCAGTCCTCCTGACACACAGCCGGCGTGTCGTGTTGTGTCGTGTCGTGTCGTGTCGTGTCGTGCCGTGTGCTGTGTCGTGTGCGTGTGTGGTGTGTTCCGTTTATTTTGTGTTGTGTGTCGCCAGGAGGCAAGAAGATACCGAGGAGCAACGCCAGCAGAAGCGGCTGAAGCCATTTCAGCTGGGTAGGGGACAATCGAGCGACTTTGAGTGGGACAGCAAGGGGCTGCCGCTCACCACGCGGGCCGACCTGCAGCGGTTCTTCGACGCGCCCCTGCCCGCCCACTGGTCGACCGGCAAATGGTGCCCCAGCCGCACCCTGCAGCAGCCCACTCGCCCACATTGCTTGCCCAAACGCTCACGTTGTGTCGTGCGTGTCGTGCGTGTCGTGTGTCGCGCCGTGTGGTCGTCGGTCGGCGTCGGCGTCAAGGATGCCCGATCTGACTGGACTTGATGACGAGGACTGGATCGGCCAGCAGGTGAATGAGGACACGTGTGCCCCGGTCATCCGAGATCTGGCGTCGCGATGCGAGGATGTCCAGCGTATGGCCACCATGCGCTTGGTCCTCCAGTGGCAGGGTATCGCCAACCATCAAATCAACCAACCACGCCCTCGGCGCTGAGTTGTGTGGTGTGTGTGGTGTGTGTGGTGTGTGTGGTGTGTGTGGTGTGTGTGGTGTGTGTGGTGTGTGTGTGGTGTGTGTGGACGGAAACACTTATATTTGGCGACCCCAGGCGTGCACGCAGCAAAGCTGGCGATCAAGTGGGGCGCCAAGCTGATCGGCTACCAGCGCGTTATCAACAAGGCACTGCTCATCGAGCGCCTCCTCATCGCCTGCGCCGTGGCAAGCCATACACCGACCACGTTCCGGGTGGCCGGCTTCGATAGCAAGTGTTTGCCTCCCACCGGCAGTCTCCACGACGAAGTGGTAACCAACAACAACCCTAGAATCTGCAGCGCAGTATCGCCTATTAACGCTGGACCATGTGCTGTGCGTGCGCGTGCAGGGCCAGTACATGCGCGACTATCTCGAGCTCTTGCGCGATGTCGACGAGCCAGAGAGCGTCCGAACGCCAATTCTCAATCTCATCGCCGTACGTGATCTTTGTTCTTCTTCTAAGCTCAAGAACGAACTACTTATTATTGGGCGACACACGGGAGCAGATGTTCCCGGAGCACTGGTCTGTCACGCTGCCGCATGTGGCCGCAGTGTTCCACAGCGCGGCGGAGAGCTTGTCTCTGCGGGCCACAGCCCTGTCGACGTTCTCCTTCATCGTGCCGTCGCGCCGGACTCGTGGCAGGCCTGCAGCCACGAGGAGAGAGAGCAAGTGAGGCAGGCGATCGCTGAGCTGAGCTCCTTCCTGCCACCGCTCCACGGTACCCCTAACCTCCCCACCTCTTCTCCTGAGCGCGACCACCTGCCTACCTCTTCGTTCTTCGCTCTTCGCTCTTCATCACGTTCTTTTTTTCTTCGCTTTTCGTTCTTTATCGTTTTTTTTTGCAGGTGTGGTGTCGCTGCGCGATGTGGCGGCGAGTGCGTTGGCGAGCAGTCAGGTCGGCAAGCACAATGGCTATGATTGGGAGGGACTGCCGGAGGAACTGAGAGGGCTGATGGAGCGCAAGGCGTGGGCTTGCGCAGAGAACAACGAACCCTATCGCCACCTTCAGGTAATCCCCCTCTTCCTCACCAACATCATCATCATCCAACAATAACACTCAACATGCGTGTGGTGTGTGTGCATGTGTGTGTGTGTGTGTGTGTGTGCAGATGTCTGCAGCCCTGGGCATGTGCAGGCTCCTCCTGCGTGCGCATGGCGTTGTGGGCAGTGATACCGCGGTCAGCGGTGCGCGTTGCCCCTCCCTCTGCTATTACTCACGCGACATACACACCGCATGCGCAGGCACTAACGGGCCAGAGTGCGTGCAGGCAAACAAGCCGCACCGATTGAGTGGTCGGTCGTGATGTCTGAGCTGGAGCTGGAGCTGAGCGCCTGGCTGCCGAGCATCAAGTCCGTCCTGCACGCTGGTCTCGCGGAGGGCTGCAGCGGAGCAGATCTGGGGCGCACCTACCTGCGTCTGCTCTTCGGCAGAGACGCCCTGGATGAGCTCGTGGCGTTGCTCCTGGTCGCACTGCGGGAGGGCGGCGAGGATTTGACCCGTACGTCACTGCTCGCCTCGTTTTACAGCTCAACTGCTGACAGATCCACACACAACACAACACACATGACACACGCGATACACAACACAAAAACACACACGACACACACGGTCACACACAGCGGTGAGAGCGATGGAGATGGCGCGAGAGATCGTCGAGCAGTGCTTCATGGACCACACGCCTGCGCCGCCAACACCCATTGGCGTGGTGCATGGTGTGCGCCCTGTGCCGCTGACCGAGGAGCGTGCGGAGATCTTGCGCATCTTTGTGAGGTACCGTCCACCAATGTCCTCCTGCACTGCACTGCGCTGTGACCCTTGTGCATCTCTCCAGGAAGAGACTGATCAACTGCTGGGCTGTGGTGGTGATGGGTGGTGGTGGTGCAGGTGCGATGCGTTGTGGGTCCAGGATGATGGCACAACGCTGATGCGTTTGGTGCAAGGCCATCTGCAGGGCCATGTGCCTTTCGACCGACCTGCACTGGCATCCTTTCTCGGTGTGCAAGAATATAACACATGGCCTGGCAGGAAGGTCTAGGCAAGCACAGACCTCAACAAAACTGATAAGCGCCTGATTTTTTAGGAATTGCTTTGAGTCAGGCGACCAACCAGGAGGCTCCTGGCGATCACAGCTCATTTTCACTTTTGTTGCTGCGCCCTTCCTTGGAACTCCGCCGCCCACAATGCTTGTCTGCACCCACCTCCCACCAAACACCTGTGCACCCAGCACGCAATAGAGATGGCAGCTTCGGCGCTCCCCCTCCCGGTCTTGGTCCTCGCCCTCGTGTCCCTTGCTCTCCGTCTCCGCCGCACTTACGGCCTGCGGTTCCGCTGGCCCCACGGTCCTTTCGCCGGTGATGGACCTACGCCTACGGGCCGTGGGGCTGTGGCGGGTCGAGGTTCATGGGCAACCAGGTGACGGCTTTTACAGCATCTCAAGCGTCACCTACTACCTCAGCCACCGGAGCGGTTCGTCGTCGCAAGTGTCGGCCGTGATCATCGGCGGCAACAGTTTGATCGCCTCGGTCGACATCAGCTCTCCTCTCCCCTCCGGCTACGGCCCCGTCCAGGCCACGTTCGACCACGCGGCGACCTACTTGGCGGCCTTCTACGCCACGGGAGCTGGCGACGGCCAGTCCAACGTGTGGATCGACTTGGTGGGTGATGCAACGGGCTTCTGCTACAGCAGCATCACCGACTGCGTGTCGAATATTGCCAACCGGGGCCTCGCAAGCAACGTGCTGGGAACGATCATGCAGCGTTGCTGCACGGCGCCTTCACCATCGTCTACGCGCACGCCCTCGCCCTCGTCGACGCCCTCCAACTCGGCTACGCCGACCACCCCTTCAACGACCCCATCCATCACTCCCACACAGACCCTCGCCCACTCGCACGGCCTGTGGCCCTGGCGCCAACACCAACGGCACCGTCGTGGGCGTCTACGGCTACGGAGGCTGGAGCGCCGACGCGGCGAGGTGCCTCGGCAACAAGGTGACGGGCTACCATTCCATCTCGAGCGTTACCTTCTTCTTCAGCCACAGCAACGGTTGGTCGCTGCAGGCGTATGCGGTGATCATCGGCGGCGGCAGTCTCATCGCCTCGGCCGAATCAGCGCTCTGCTCCCCACCTCGGGGTCGAGACCATCATCGAGGGCAGCTGCCCGGGTTCTTCCCCCTCG